TAAATTATATTTTAAATTGTAATTTATTCCTGAGATGGCAAAGCTGAATTTTCAACAGCCATTACTCCAGTCTTCAGTGTCACATGATCCTTCAGAAATCATTCTAATATCAAATCTATAAGGGCATCATGATGTTTGCATTGGAAACAATATATGATAATTCATTAGTCCCTGGGGTTTCCATCAATATATTAATGTCTCAGGCCAAACCCTGCATTTTTTATATGATGATTGGCTGAGCTCTCAAATGTGCGGGTCTTTGCAACAATGACTGACATTGTTTTGAAACATAAATGCAAAATCAGTGTGTCTGATGGTCAACTTCGACACATAGATGCAGTTATTTAGCTTGGTTAATTATGTTTATTAAGTATTTTCACTGCTTTTTAGTAGTTTGTGAAGCAGCTTTCGGTAGCAACAAATAAAAACACAGATCCCAGTACACCTTTTGTCATCGATGAGTGATTCCCTGCTCTTGAAAAGCACCAGCTGCCACTGGAAGAAATAACAAAAGGTCCTCCAACCTGAAATCTCACTCTTTTCCCCCCCTTATGAGTCTGTCTCCGCAGAAAGCCTGATAAAACACTATTTACATTTTCCCACATACCTTCCCTTTTCTGGCGCACAAAAACACGCATACGTACAAATGGCAAGCCGTGAAAAGAGAAAGACAAGTTAATAGCAAACAGCACACTGCATTTTCATTTAGTATCTTTAGCGTGTTGTTTTGTTTTCACACGGCGAACAGAAAAACCCATGGCTGATTATGTGAAGAAGGCGTGAAATTGTGATATTTGCATGGCTGGGGATATTAACTAGAGGCATTAGTTGTCGAAAAGCTTCAAGGCTGGGCTCCAGACATGTTTTTAAATAATGGTTTAATGATGCATATTTTACAAATATTTTCCAAGCCAGACTAGCGGCACACACCATCTCTCTCTCTCTCCTCCAGACTACATTAACGCTCTTATTCTTTCTTCATTAACAGGCTCACAGCCCTTTCGCTATGTTCCTTTGTGTGCATTTGGAAAAAATCAACTGGAAAATAGACAGCATGAGGCAGCCGAACAGACGTTTTGGGTTCTCTATCTCTGTGTGGATTCTATCAACCGCTGTTCATTATTTATTTATTTGTTTCATTGTATTCGCCTTTAACCACCTTTCATCATTCAGTCACTAAACTGGATGTTAAGACAAAATGTCCACAGAGAAGTTTAAATGGGTTATGATCATTCCCAGTCTTGCTTGCTGTACTTTGCACTATATCTTCTCCTCTCTGTCCCCTGATCTCTGTCTCTCTGTGCCAAGCTTGGTCCCTCTGCTCCATTAAAGGCAGATCTCACTGGTGCAGGTATTGGCCACTGAGAGGTGCAGCTGTCCAAGTTGCCGCTTTGGCCCAGAGTTGCTGTGGCCAGACACAAAAGCACAAACATCAGGGTGTCTGGCCACACGGCCCCAGTCCAGAGACCATCAGGCTCAGACCTGTTTTACTGCTGGATGCCATACAGACACCATCACAGAAATGGCCAAGGAAGCATTTAGGGACACATTTGCTCAGGCAGGGCGGTGGAACAGGCTGAGAAAGTGTTTTAAACATTTATATCAGAGGGCCACTGAGGCCAGTCACAGCAAAAGAAGGGATTCATTGAATATGTGACATTCTTATGCATTAGGCCAAACGCTCTTATGCAAAATACACTAAAGCAATAAACCTTGAGTGACTGTGTGTGTTACGGTGGTAAAAAATCACTGTAATGCAAAAGGTTTTGACTGACTTATTGCTAAAAAAAAAAAGTTACAAATTAATTTTCAACATCAAAAAAGTCTTTGGTACTTAATATTGGTTTTAAGTAACTTAAAAAATCTTTAGATATCATTGCATTAGATTATTGTAACAAAATATCAAACCAAGTAGTATTTGTTTTAAACAGAGCATAATCACACTTTTTAGACAAAACACCACAAAAATATGTTTGTCCAGTTTTAAAATCTAGAATAATAAACACTATTGTTCAAAATGGAGACCAAAAAATATTAATATATATAATCTATCTATACACACACACATACACGTCTATCTAGTTATCTTATATTTGAATATATTTGCATTTTAAGAATATATTTATGTCTTTTATTTATGAATTGATAGAGTTTGAACAGAGTATAATTCTAATTAGTAAAAGTTTATATCATAATTAGTTTATTTTCATACTTTGAGCTGTCAGTATAAACGTGTCAATAAAGGAGCAGCTGAACAGAACAACAGTATTGAAAGCTGTTTTTCTCAGACTTGGAACCTTTACAGGCTCTCATTACGGAGATCATTTACATATATCCACAGATGAAGACATGAGAGCAGGGCCGTTTCTAGGCATAGGCGAGCCAGGGTGGTCGCCTAGGGCGCCACCAGCTGAAGGGGTGCCAATGAGCGCACGTACTGGCACTTTTAGCAGGGTTGTGATAAAGAGTGGCACGGTCACCCTGAAATATGACTGCTGCCCCCACTGGATCCCCCAACATTATTGGGCTAGAGTACTGTCAATCTGACGATGCCTGTATGCCACTAGATCAGAGTGCTGTCAATTGCTGCCTGATTGTTGCATGCAAAGTTTGCATTTGGAGTGCTCAACAACGCCATTAGATCAGTGGGCTCTGTCAGTGCTTTGGCAAGGTAACATTTTTTTTTTGTGTGTCATGTAATATTCCCAAATAAACTTTAACATCCAATTAAAAAATATTTGTATAGTAAAATTAGCGAATTCACGAGATCAATACATCCTTTATTAGACCGCTTTGTCGAGTTAAATGCATCCTTACGGAGGTGTCGAAATGCTGAATCAATTCATTCACTTCCAACAGCGCTTAATGGGAGCAGCGTCATAGAGGGCAGAGCGTCACGTTATTTAAAGGGGACGTTAACATTTGTGGAACTCAATGCACGGAATCTCCACAAATTAGTGTCGTTACTATGACAACCAATTTGAATGTGACAAGCAACTGGCGTCTGAAAAGAATTATATATATATATAATTTGTGTGGGGGGGCAATAGGGATTTCGCCTAGGGCGTCAAATTGGCTAGAAACGGCCCTGAATGAGAGCACATGTGTGAGCGTGTGTGTGTCTAGCACAGAACAAGAGCTCACAGCGTTTGAGGAGATCTGAATGTTGTCTAATATCTGTTCTCAGAACAGTGAGCTTGCACATCTCTCCAAGTCTCATGAATGTAATTGTAATTGACCTTTTTCCTGTAACGCAGCTGAGATGGTGGCTATGGGGGGGCAGTGACACAGAGACTAAACACTAGCCAAGCAAAGTTAATTGTCCAGCTGAACAATAACGTAACGGAGAATGCAGATATGAAAAGGGCATTCAAATCAATAGATCGACAATAGCCTTTCCGAAAAGATGGCTGAACTCAATTTTCTGGCCGCGGATGCCCTCTAAGCTCCAAACACAATGCACCCCCCTTAAGACCCCCAACAACCCCAAGTCTATCACAGTGCCCAAACCTCCTCCACTGACAGGGAGATTTTTTCCCTTTGCCTTCCTTTTTACTTCTTTTTTTTTTTCCAATAATATTTGTATTTATGTACAGCAAAATTGTATTAATTTTTGCCCACTATTTATCCACACACACACACACACACATATATATATTATAATTATTATCATCATTTTTAGGTAATCTATTTAGGTGATTTAGTGTGATTTTTTTATATTTAAAATACAATTAAAAAATATTAAAGTATATTAAAACTATACTGTTTTAAAAATATATATGATTTAAGTCTTAAAATTTCCATTTGATATTGTTTCAATGTCTGCCATTTAAAATCAAACCTGCCATGATTATCATAATACGAATGATGAATTGCGATTGGTCTACTTTATTGCATTTATCTGCATACTGAATTGTTACTGGTCTCTTCTTTCTTGCATATATTTAACCATTTAGCTGGGAATTTTTCCACTGGGAATGAATATATATATTCACTAGTATTTTCTTCAACTGTAGTCCTTTCATTTTAGAATTCCTTCATCCCCTTTTTCTGCCATGTACGTAGTGTTTAGTTTGCATTCTTCATTGTGATGGGAACGACGTAACGCCGTTACATGTAACTAGTTACTCCCCAACACTGTCAATAAGTCATTAGGCCCATCTGTAGCTCGGTGATCTAATACCAGTTTAGTAGTTGCTCTTTCAACAGTTAGTTTTAATAACTGCATTCGGGGAGTTCTAGATCAGCAAAAAGCACAATGGCTCTCCAGAGCCCCTCTGCAGTCTGCTTGTGCACAATTGTGGAGTTTTACTGCATGCTGAAATCAGCAAAATTACCCTCCCAAAATGGCAAGGGCTATAGAGTAAGGTGGGAAAAAAGTCACTTTCATTATATAACCCGAAACGAGGTAAGCTAAAAACCATGTTGCATCGTGCATGTCTTTTGTGAAGTTGTGAAGGTCAGCGGCACAGTCTTGTGTGGCTTTGGGTAACAGATGCTGAGCAAAGCTGGGAAAATTAGCCTACTCCATGTGCCTTACATAAACATTATTTTAATCAAAGTGTATTAGAGCAGCCAGATATTTTAGACATATGGGGGCTGCATCCTTCCTGGCTACCCCATCTGTCTCTCCCAGAGCTCTGAATGCAGTTTCAGCTTTCACCCAGATGCATTGAGAAAACATTCAGCTTCCCATAGAGACCCAGAAGCGCAGACTGTACCTGCTGCTCTGGGACAGGCATGCCAGGAGTGCTACGACAAGATTGCATAAATGCTGACAAGTCGCGGGAAAAGGCCTCTTTTTGCAGGTTTTTTCTCTTGGTCTGCAGCTGATGCTTGTTGTGAGAAGTAAAAGAAGTCACAAAGCCCCCACAACCAACCCATGTGAACAAACAATCCTGTCCATAAAGCCCCATTGTAAGTTTTCAATGTTGTTGTGTGGTGTGCTGTGCAGTGAATAACAAACACACATGCACACAAACCAAAATATGCATACTCACCAGGGTTGGTGATGGTCAGAAGATCCAGCCTTCGCTGTTGCTGAAAAAGAAACAGAGACATCAGAGGTCTTCTGTCAGAAAGATGAAACAGATCCAGTCTGAGATATTTTTTCTTTTTTTACCCAGAAATCAAAGTTTGTGCTGTCTGCCTGTTAAGTACATTTTGCTCTCTATCTCTCTCTGGAGATAAAAATGTGTCATGCATTTTACATCAATTTTATGTAAATATATGTACATATACGGTGCATATATATATCACTCTATGAAACAGAATCATTCGAATCTTACACTTCTCTTTAGGCCTATTCACAGCAAAAAAAAATAAATAAATAAAAAATGACAAAAAAAAGGGGTCAATAGAAAAGGATAGATTTTTTTACAATAACATATAAACCATCAAGTCCTACAATGAGCTCTGAGGTAAAAACTAGAATGTGTTTATTAGCTGAATTCACAGTTAAGAAGTATATTACCCAGAATTCTTAGGAGTGATCCACCAATCAGAGATGTTTTGGCTTCCATGGAATTGTAAAATTATTCTCATTAAAATCTCTTAAAAAAAAGAAGAAAAAAAATTCCATGAAAAATACTTCTAATCTATCTATCTATCTATCTATCTATTAGGGGTGCAACGGTTCAACTTACTCACGGTTCGGTTTGTATCACGGTTTTAGAGTCACGGTTTCAGTACGGTTCGGTATGTGCTATGTTTAGGGGAAAAACTATATTGTCAAATAAAAATAATGAAGATAACAAATAATCTAACTACAAGCAACAGCACAAATAAATACAATAGGGCAAAGATACAAATACAATAAACAGTGCTTTTTTAGGTAGGTCTAACATTAGTTTTTAGGTACAGAAATTGAATAAAGTAATCAAATGTAAAATAACATTGCATATTTGACTGTATAAATTAAAGATTAATTTTTATTAAAGTTACAAAAGTTATTCAATCAAGAGCAGTGAGAGATTTCTGTGTTGTTGCCGTTTGATAAACATTAAGAAAGTGCTGTCACTTTAAGAGAACGCATTGATCCAGTGCACTGATACAGTACGTTTAGCCGACTATGTCTGCTAGGATACTCACCAAGATGGGCATTTTGACATAATTTTTGAGTGAATTTGTCCATTCAAGCACAATACTTCAAAGAGAGCTTAATATTTGTGCGGTTCACGCGCTTCCGATGAGCGCACACACAGATCTTCTCACTGCGTGCACGAGTTTGCGTCTTCTGGCTCTTTAATATTTAAACTGGCCAGGCTTAAATGAGTTTAGTTTAAACACAGATAGCAACGTGTGCTGTTCAGGTCTCACCTGCGCTATAAACACGTGATGACGGCATAAATGACAGTTATTCCAACATACAGCACTCGCACGGAACAAAGAGTGACTGGTTTGTCCACGTATTGTTTTTTTTCCCTCATCGCTCTTGTTGTAATGTATTGGGAAGCCAGAATTTGTATCCATCAACAGAAACATGCATTAGCCGAACTCTAACAAACCATATTACAGATGCATTGTCAGATTTAAGTTGAACCGTGGTCCTAGTGCATGCCGAACCGTGTGTGGAGAACGATACGGTTCGATTTTTTACAGAGATCCGTTGCACCCCTACTATCTATCTATCTATCTATCTATCTATCTATCTGTCTGTCTGTCTGTCTGTCTGTCTGTCTATTAATCTATCTATCTTCATATAACCTTTTTTTAACATAATTGTATTAATATATATTAATACATTTTATATTAATTATATATCGTATTACTTTTTATTAATTTACACACACACACACACACACACACACACACACACACACACTTTTAACATAACTGTATTAAGTTATATATCTTTTTTGTCTGTACACACTCTCTCTCTCTTTTTGGCTTGTTCTGATACTTCAATGTTGTGTGTTTGTGTACATAATCCATTGCGTTTTGTGAGTTATGTATTCATGTGCTGCAGTAGATGCAGGTCGTTTCCTGGAGAGAGGGCGTGACAGAGGCTACAGCAATCCACACAGGTCACACTCTCAGATCGATAAGTGCCCAATCAAAGACTGATGGCGTCCTCAATGGCATGCTGCAGTGTGAGGCGGACACACATAACACACATACTGTGAGGGCAGGCAGCTCAAGAGCTGTACTTTAACACTCTTGTGGTACTGCAGGTCCTTCTACATGAGAGCCACTACACACATAGTAGAGCAGAGAGCATACACTGATATCATTCACACATGCACACACACTCAGTTCTGCTTTTCAATATCTGGTCCACTGATCAATATAATGACTGGATTGCTCATTGCGCTCTAAACTGCCATTCGGCAGTGAAGCCACCAGAAGTGTTCGATCAGCCATCTTATTCCCTACCGGCAGAGAGCATCATTGACTGACAGCCAAAACCTTGACCTAAAATCACCAGATTTGATGTGTATCAGTCACACAGGATTAGTTTTTAGGATATGTGCATGTAAATTAATTGCTACTTCAGATGTTATCTGCAATGTTTATGGTCATTTTGGGCAGAATAAGTGATATATTGAAATCATTAAGGTGGGTGTGTCTGCTGCGCACTTGCCGACACAGATAACTGATCCAGCACAAAATATATTTATTTGTGTACGTAATTATGCAGGAAATATTAAACATGAACATATATCTGGTATTAGTATCAAAAATTGATTCGGATTAGTGCTGGGCGGTATACCGGTTCATACCGAATACCGGTGTTTATTTTTGTTATGATATGAATTTTTTAAATACCGCAATACTGGTGTATGTCGCTTAAACAACGTTCGGAACGCGACACTGTTTGAAAGGGTGTCCCTTTTCACTGTTGCACTGTGGTGAGGGCACAGCTGTATGTGTTACTAAGCGTGAAAGTTCCGAAACTGAAGCTGTAGAACTAATAGAACGTGATGACAGAAGAACTCATCCACAATATCCACATTGACCGCCACAAATATCCACCGCCCCCTGCCATCAGCTCCAGCGTCTCACACACACACACACACAAGCGCAACTTTAGCACTAGATTTAGCAACTTTCAGACCCTTTTAGCGGCTTTTTTCCATAGAATATTCATACTGACAAACCTAGCGACTTTTTTGGATAAACCTTAGCTATGGTTCAAATACCGTCATGTACCGTGAAACCGGTATAATTTTGAAAAATACTGTGGTATAAATTTTTGGTCATACCGCCCAGCACTAATTCGGATATACAATAAATATTACAATACAATCCTTTGTCTAAATTAATTAATTAATGTCAAATTAACGTATACAAAGCATAAATATATATTCAGATTTTGTGAGAACTTTGTCATTTGAAATGCATATGTTGATCTGATGTTTATCATGTTCATCTGATGTACTACTGTAATGTATATGAACTTTTTAATACGCAGGGGAAATTTCCGACATTAAACAAATAACCATTTAAATGCATAGGACGTTTGCGTTGTAAGAATGTACATGGATACTTCAGATATAATAACGCTGACTCGACTTCCTGTTTGTTGCTGCCGTGTGTTTTGAGTTTGAGCTCCGTCAAGTTAATTCTTTGTCGTCAAATTTTTTATCTTAAAATCAATTTTATACACCATAATTTTCGTTTCTATAACGTGTGAATATATCCCCTATCGTATTCTACAACAAAAACAATCAGAGCGCCTTATTATCACTAGTTTTATTTTGATTTCCCGAGTCCGCTATTAGCAAATAGCCCGCTAGCATCGCCAGCGTGGTTGCCGCTAATCTCACTTACATTACTAATACTCTATTCACACACATTACCATTGTTTTACTCACTGTTACTTGCTTTAATGGCGGATGTGTGTCTACCTTTGAGTGCAGGTGAGGATACGTTCGAGCTGCATTCGGTGCAGCTCGAGCTGGAGGCCGTGGAGAAGCAGATCCGCGAAGTGGTGGAGAGGCAGACCCAGCTGAGAGAGCGGAGAGCCGCGCTGGAAACATCCCAGGCTGACGCTCACAAATCCGAGGTAAGTATACAGCGCGCTGCTAATTCTCCCACCACCTCTACTCCGTGTGTTTCTCTGCACAGGCCCGGTGCACCCAGGTAAAGTTGCTTTGCAATGATTTGTATCGTGAAAAGCGCCGTACAAATAAACTTGACTTGACTTGACTTGACTCGTTAGGAGATGTTTTCTCCTTAAAATCGTACGATTTCCTATTAATTCAATAGAATTTATGGGAATACTAGGGAATATCAATATGGTGGCTTTTATGACGTCATGAGCAATCTAGTTCTCTATTATAGAACAGTGGTCTGGTCATTTCCTGATGATTAGCAATTATCCAGTGAAGCACAGGGCTTTAACTTGGTTTTGAATTCATAAAATGTTCTCTCTTTTTTTTTGGTGGCTTTATGAGAAGCAAAGTCTGAAAATATAAAAAGAGCGTTAGTGAATCAGTTTTAATTAAGAGTCACTGTGTGTTTGTAATGTATGTGGAGTTATGCATTGTGCTTGTTAGCAATACATTAAGCATTTAGCAATGCATATTTTATTGGGACATCTGACTTGTATATGATGTGCATCTTCTATCTGCTAAAAATAATTTAGAAAACAGTATAATTTATGCATAAAATATGCTGGCACCTGTCAAAAAAGCACGTGTTAATGTGCTGTTTATGTGATAATTGGAAGACACGAGTCGTGACTCATAGGTGCTAACTCTCACAGAGCATTTTCTTTAACAAAGTAATAAAAAGCTCTTTTAAAGTGTGCATATAGTGTAATATAATACTAGTTGGCGTTGAAGAGTAATTGCAGAAGGCTTTGTTTTGACAACCTCCTGGAATGATGCCTATTATTTTATTTTTCAGATCGCCCCCTGCTGGTGAAATAGACACATACAACACAATTCAGCTCATTTTCTGAGCTGATCCTAATGACAGGGAAAGTAAAACTGAAGATATGCATTGCATTACACTAAAACATACATTAATATTTAAGATCATTTCAATACAAAGGTTTGTTTTGCATTTTAAACACTAGTTAACTTGCAATATAT